CCACAGTCACTCACTTGTTTTGCCTCCCGGAACCCCTCCACTAACACTTAAACTTTATAGAATGGTATTAAAGTTCAAATTGACTTTTAAGTATTATTACGAATCTTTTGTACGGGAATATAGAAAAGTGTTGTTTTTAGACTTTTTCAGGCAATTTGTAAAATTTTTTCTTTATCTACAAATGAAATCGGTCCAGCCGTTCACTCGTGACCAAGGGAAATAGGGATTCATTTTTAATCTATATATATATATATATTGATAATAAAAATTGTATAAAGATCCTGAAGTAGGAATCCGTTTCTGCCTAACGCAATGTAGGTGAAGGTATCAATTTTTTTGTTAATCAATATAACTTTGATATTTCTTTCTCTTTCATTGATATTATACCATTTATAAGTTCAATCCTGATATTGGTCAGTTAGGGGGAAAAAGTTGAATTCTCTTTATTGACTTGACATGTCAAAATGAATGTATGGAGTGGTATTTTATTTTATTTTATTGGAAAACTTACTAAGCTATTAACAGAGATGATTAAAAAGAGATAATAAGAAAGTAATTAAATGTTAGACCACTGGTTTTCAACACGCTTACAACACCTCTGGTGTTTTGATGGTCCACGGGCTGCGGTCCAAATGAACCTCAGGTGCAAATCACTTGAAATTAAAACTTAGCGTATTAAAGCTCGTCTGCCAGATTTTTGTTCACATATTGTTTTACATTTGAATTTTTGAATCATAATATCATTTGAATTTTGGATCATGCGTTTGTAAATTATTTCTTAATAAGATTGCTTTGACGGTTTTGAGTTAATAGAATTAAAAATACAAATTCCATATTTTAAAACTTATCATCGTCGCAAACATTTTAATATATGAGACTCCTATTAAAATACAGCAATGCTGAACAGCTGTATTTTGTTTTTAGCATTTTTGACACGTTAAAAAACGGCCTTCATCTTGTTAATTAATATTTAGCCAAAAAAATAAAGATGTATGTATATAAATGTAGATTTAAACAGATAATATCAGACGCAGTTAATTATTTTGTACCTAGATTGTTGACCTTTTGTTTCGTTTACGAATATTATTTTAAAATTCAAAGAGTATTTTATACATTTAATTAATCTCGTAGTCTACGGAATGAGTAGGTACAATGATAAAGAATACAAATTAGAACATGTAACGAGGCCAAAAAAATTAAATTACCTTTTTGACATTTTATGAGCCCTAAGGGTTTAAGGTTTAATATTTTAATTAATTCATACATCTTCTCTTACAGCATTTTAATACGTGTTTAAATTTATAAGAGTAACTTTCTACAATTTGTTCATTAACTATGTAGATATATACCAGCATATAAGTTAAAAAAGTGTGATAATCGTGTCTCATCATGAAAACTGGAAATACTTTAAAACGTATTCTTGACCTTATGATTTATTTCAAGAACTATAATTTCTATGAATGCAATAATAAAATCAAACCAGTAGTAATTTCACAATGTTGGCTACGGCATATCCTTGTACAGTTATGATTAAGCCATAATAGACCTTCACTATTTTAAATCAAGATTGGTTAGCAAACAATTTGCTTTACTCGCTCAAAGGGCAAAGGGCTATTAACGTATTCCTTACAGGTCCTCTAAGCATTATTTATTAGCAAAACATATACTAAAAATTATTTATAAAATCATGTGATACACATAAAATCGTATTTATTTATTTAATAAAAACCCTACAACAAAAATGAATTAAGTGTAAAAGGCAAAATATCTTTTTTTAAATTCAGAGCTAATCCATTAATTCAACAATCAATTGTGATGAAATCCCGTAGAGTAATAAATAACATTAGAAGACCTAGACCAGCTCCGCCCACCGTCTAGTGGATCATCTAGACGATTTCACCGCTAACTTAGTTCGCTCGAGCTTAACCCAAAATTAGCTTAAAAGCCAGAACTTGCCGCATCTGTTTGAATATAAAACGAAGTTTGCATCCACAGCTCTATTTGGGTCGTGACTCCAGCAGAATTTTAAAGAAGCAAAGTAGCCTTTCTAAAACTAAATATGAGTTTAGAAGAGATATTCTGCCAAATGTTATCATATTTCAGCTGTTCTTTAATTTTTAAATGAAAAGACAACTTTAAAAAAAACAAGCTTTATTCCAAATTTTGAATTCCTATAATGACAGCTGTAACAATTTTTGGGAATTCTCAAAAGAAATGCATATTTCAATGTAAGTAAATAATTACATTGAAATAAAAAGTAAGAGCAATGACTTCTGTAATAAGCCTTTATACTATTAAAGTAAAATCTTACAAAATTATACAACGCGAACTTTATTGCGGTACCCGAGTCCTTAATCTTCAAATTAAAAGGCTCAAGCTTCTATAAAGTAGGTTAAATCCGTTATAAGAGGAAACTCATATCGATTTACGCTATGTCTACGAATGTATGCCTTAAGGAAGAGCAAAATGGAATGTCATAATCTATATTTATAGCCCACATTATAGGCATATATTTACTTCCGATGTGTTTCGAAAGGACGTTTTGTTATTATATTATTATATAATAATTTCTTGTATTTACGCGATTACACATTATAAATGAAACTAATTTTACGGATTTATCGCGATAAATCCGTAAAATTAGTTTCAATTATATTATTATATTTTCTATACACAATATAATTTTTGTCCTGATAATCAAAAGACATTGTTAGTATGAAGTAAGTAAATTTATCTAATAATTATATGATAAAAATCAACGAAATATAATGCTGTAGTGGAAACAAAAAAATTGTTAATGACCAAAAATATATACAGACAAAACTTTTTTTTTATTTTGTAGCTATTGTTGAGCATTAGTTAATTCAATAAAAACATATTTTAAAAATAAATTACAACATCGTCATCTCTTGGTACAAAAATAAACTTACAACAGAACAGGGTGGTAACCGAAAAACGTTATGGTTGGTAAGATATAATTTGACACTTTGTGAGCGGTAATATTCATTTAGCAGTAAATGACACGCTTGCTTGTTTGCCGCCAGCTAATAAAAGCTTAAAACACAGTACAATAAAAACACTCACAATGTAACTCGGTGACGCAATAGCTAAGCTATTAGGATCGACACCACGGGTTCGATTCCACATGAGACAAACGTTTGAATGTTTAACCCACCGATAAATGTTTCGGATCTAGGTGTTTGTTCTCAAAGAACCAGAATGTATCAAATGCCATTGACAACACGACTCACGTGTCGTGCCGACCCCACCTAGGTGGGATAAGGAAAGGAGAAAGAAAAAAAATAAGTATACATGGTTGTCTTAATTTTTTTTCTTCTTGATTTTTTATCATGAGTATATCCGCTAATGTGCACCATGAGAGCATTGGTTTTAATAAAAAGTAAAAGTACATAAAGTAAGCTTGTATGTATGACCCACTGCTGGACAAACTCCGTATTGTAGAATTCCGATCCTCTGACCAGTTGAACTGGCAACCTCACATATCTTCTCAATATTTTTTTTCTTATTATTTGTAAAATATGCATTTTTATCATATTTTCCTTCACCGCTTTACAAGTGGTAAGTCGGCACTAAAAATTGCAACTAACAACTTCATTCGTAACGGGATTTAAACTCAGGTTGCTCGAGTATACTAAAATTAATGCGAGCACCCGGACAATGAGCTATCACGGCTAAAATTCATTTTAATAACGAGATACATTTTTTCATTACTCAAAACTAACCTCTGAATAAATGCTCAGATAATTAGCGTTAATAATCTATCATCAATAAGATGATAATCTAATTGGTGGATTTTATCGCGGTTTTTTTTTTAAATATTACACCACAACAACAGGTGAAACATGTGACTTTATGTCTTTCATGGTCCTGGAACGCACTGATGACATAAAATTCGTAATTCACTTTTATTAAAATGTTTGATATTCACATGTGTAATAATTATGATGAGAATCTATTTTACCCATTAGAACAAATTGTTTTAATTAAAGTAACACATTACAAGCGAAGAAGCCGCGCTGAAGTTAGTTAGATCGTCTGGACAATTTTACTGCTAACTAGATTCGCTACCGAACTGAACCTCGAATTAATGTCAAGGCCAAAAGTGGTTCAAATAATTATAATGTAAAATTAACGTAGCTTCCGGTTGCTGAAGGCTAAAGTTGCTAACAATGTTGGCCACAACTACTACAGTTTGACGACCCGATTGGCGTAGTGTGCCTCTTGTGCTAGTGGGTGTGGGTTCGAACCTCACTACTGCATAAATATTGTGTGATGAACATACTGTTGTTCCAGTATTTGGGTGTTGTTTTTTTTAATAATAATATATAACATGTACATACACATGTTGTATTATATAACATGTGTTATATAATACAACATGTGTATAATAAGTATTTATATACAAAAGAAAAGTATGCTTTACGGTGGCAGGGCCACGCAGCAGCCTCGGCTGTTGCACGAATGGGCTCGCTCGTCCGAGTAAGTACCACAGTTAAGTGGTAGTATAATACTTTCGCGTTGCGTCTGGTGAGTGAGATGGCCGGAGCCCAAATTTCAAAAGGTTATCAACGCATCTACGCTACAACCCTCGGTTGTAGCAAATGTCCATGGGCAGCGGTATTCACTTAACATCAGGTGAACGGTCTGCTCGCTTGGCAACTTATCACATAAAAAAGTATGTTTATCAGTTATTTAGTACATTTAGTATAAACAGTGCTTAGTTTGGGACTAGAGAATGTTGTGTAAAAATGTGTCCTAAAATATTTTATTAGATACAAATCGCGAGCCATATGTTGCGTATAAATCGCACTATGTCACAAACTTTCCCGCAAGATCTGAAAACCAATGTTAAAGTTATACTAAATCGCATGAATGATTTACGATCGTAAAAAGAAGGTACACAGTCCCTTTTATATACAAAGAGGGAAGATATACACTTTAAAATTATGTTAATCATATGAGGATTTAATTCTCGATCAACTGCATGCGCCCAGTTTTGAAATAGAAACATCTGTAACAAATTAATGTATTTACATTAATTCATAATTTAACTTTTGTCTGTGGTAGAGCAACAACAACTATTGTAAGAGTTACTGCTGAAAAAATATGAAGTAACTTTGTGAAGTTACACTATTTATAATATTTCATTCTATCCGGAGTGTGCGAACTACATATAAAATTATTGTTAATAAAAGTAATATTACAAAGTGAACTGTCAGTTCGTACGCAAACTTTTTCCATAAAAAATTAGTACATGAAGTCTAAAATTACATACTGATTCCACACTTTTGTGCACATAAGAACTTCTCCTTGTTAAAATATGTGACATTATTGGTGCCACAGACTGGGCTGTATGATGAAGATGATTGACAGTCCTGCACACACTGTTTCTGCGCGGGAATTTCTGATCTAAAAAAAATAACGACAAATAAAATTTAACTAAAGGTCATTTTGTTTCCATGTTTGTTGAAAAGGTGGCAAGCGAGCTAGCGGTTCACCTGATGTTAAGTAATAACTGCCTCCCATGGGCATTTGCAACACCCGAAGTTTGTAGACGCGTTGCCACCGTTTAATAAATCGAGCCCTCACTCACCAGACGAAACGCAGAAGTATGACACTTCCACTTCACGCTGGTCTTCTGTGAGGTCTCGGCACTTACCTGCTGGACCTGCCCATTTGTGCAACAACCGAAGCTGCTGCGTTGCCCTACTATGCAATAAATGGTCTCTTTTATTATTTTAATTCTACTTATAAACTTTATTCATAATCATGATGCTTGTATTAGTATCGTTTTATTATACGAACCTTGTATTGATATCCATTCCTGCCGGATTGAATTCAATCATTGATACTACCAATGGTTTTCCTAAAATTGCAACTGGTTCAGTAGTACTATAGCCAGAACCTTGCTCCTGGCTAGTCTGAAAATGTTGTTGCTTTTGAATTTTCGAAACAGTTTCTTGTAACGGTTTCTTTAAAACATTATTCTGCCCGAAGTTTTGTTCCTTGAAAGGTCTTTCGTGACTATTACTGTACTCATTTATCGTTAGCTTCGTTTCCTTGCCGAATCCATGATTAAGAACGGCATTTACAATCGGATATATATCTTCACTTTTAAAGTCATCGCTTCCAAGCACAATAATAACATCTCGACTTTGTGTATTTCCATTTATAATACCTTGACGACGTGCGTTATTGTTGTGGACAGGTCGAAGTCCGTAATTTGGATTTTGATAAAAGCCACCAAACTGGAATGTACAATTTATTTTATTGAGAAAATAAGTAATTTGTTTCAGTTTACTTGTCTTTTAAAACTTTGTCTTTCACTCTACGCTGTACAATGTCAAAAGTATATACCTTTTTAATTTGCCACAGTGAAACAAAAGTAACTAAATATTTCAGTTGCGTCGCTTCATCATTATATAGTATAAAACAAAGTCGTCCGGCTGTCTGTCTGTCTCTATCTATGCTTAGATCTTTAAAACTACGCAACAGATCTTGATGCGGTTTTTTTTACTAGATAGAGTGATTCACGAGGAAGGATTATATTTATAAGACATTGCAACCGCGCGAGGCCGGGGCGGGTCGCTAGTTTTTAACTGTAACTTTAAGTTAACTCATAAATGTATGTCCCCTAATCAACGTTTACACCTACATGAGCACAATTCGCTCAGTTATGAATAATATATTCAATGTGGATTTATATCATATTGAAGGTTAGGCTTTAACATTTGAATGGCGGATATAAATGTTTTGAATTACTTTATTTCTTTAAGATATTTACGTTATTGACTATCTGATACACAATGGTATTATTTAGGGATAAAGAACTGTGTACGCATTGAAAAGTCATATAGTAAAGCTGCAAAGAACTTCAAAAAAACATACTACTATATAATGATAAAAACATACTACTATATTATAAAAAAAAACATACCTAGTTCAATGCACTGATAGAGAACTGAACTGAACTGAAAGATACTGAGAATTTTTTTTTTCTATTGAACCTTACGAAATCTGTTATATGTACAGAATGGTGAAAAAGTAAATGGATAAACATCCATTTACTTTTTCACCATTCTGTACATATATACTTATTAAAATTCACTACACGTTTTACCGATCCCATGAAAATTGCCATGTAGGTATAGTTTATATTTTATTCTATTCCTCTTGTATATAAATCGTAAAATTATCGCCTTTGAAATAGATACGTATAAATAAATACTCGAAAACACATAATATTTCCACGCTTTCTACATTATTGTTAATTCACGCCATGATGCATAATTTTTACTTAATTTACAAAATAAACAAAAAATCTTATAAATTCACGTAGCACTACAACAGCACTAAGATTTATATTCCCCTACTAATCTTATTGATAATTTAAAACACAAAACAAAACATTAAAAAATTATTTCAGTTCAGTATTATTAAATTACTTTAAAAAAAGAATAAATAAAAAGCTTTAAAGCTATGATGTTCTGAGAGTTATGTGATAATATACGCTTTATCAATCTGTATCGTTATATCGTCAGAACATCTACTGGGTTCTACTTGTATTTATTATTAATTGATTTAAAATAATGCAATTGGATAGTTACCACAGGGTTGGGATAGAATTGGTGATCATTTCGGTAATAGTTTGTTGGATTCCCAAAAACACCGTTCCTTCCACTAAAACGAAAACCGTGGCTTGACTGCCCAGCTAGTCCTTAAAGACAAAAATATTATAAGTTAACTACTATAAACTACCAATTTTACAAAAGTTGATATTCACAAGTAAAATACTGCAAACAAAATAAAATAGAGCATAAAACATTTACGATTTACTTTGAATACTTTGAAGTAAAGTATTAAAGTATACTAGGCACCGTTTAAATAAATAAAATATAGTACTACTTACCAAATACAGAAATTATTAATAATACCGGTTTACATTCTGGCATGGTAAATTCATGCAATGTACATTAAAATAAAATAATTATGTAAATATGATAATGATCTCATAACCTGATCCCAATTCACTATTTTTGGTTATTTTAAAGAACAAAATCGTCAATTAACACATATCGATCGTTGGTATTCGTTACACCTAATGGCCTCTCCAGGTACAAAAATTATATTAAGCATAATAACTAAAACTGGTTTTTAACGACGCTACCACACAACATGTACTTCACTCGCAAGATATTTATGCCTGCACAGCTGTTAACAAAATTATTTTTACATTTTTTATGTTATAGCTATAATAATTTAAAATTTTCAAATTCATATCTATCAAAAGGAACTTTAATCGATACAAATGTTTTAAACATTGATTAAAGCTTTATAAAAATAAATACAATATCTATGAAATACATAGACTACTCTCCAAATGCAATGTTTTAATTGTGCATTTGTTAGAAAGAAGTTTTACTACACTTGATAAGAGACTGTTCAACCCTAAATTAACTTCAAGACATTCACTCTTAATATGACTACTCAAAATTGTCTTTATAGCTTCTTAACAAAGGATCTCGAAGATTGCCAGATTAAGGTTTACCTTCGGTGAAAATAAATTGAATGTATTTTTTTTTATGTGAAAAGTGGCCAAGCGAGCATGCGGTTCACCTGATATTAAGTGAATACCGCCGCCCATGGACATCTGCCACACCCGAGAGTTGCACATGCGTTGACAACCTTTTTGTAAATTGGGCACATATTAAAAAGTATGTGTGAGTTATATATAAAACAATGGCTTCTAACCAGTCTTCAATGATGTTCAGGTCTTTATATAATGTTAACATCCATTATTTTTTTTGTATTAACTGATGTTTGTGCTTTCAGTACCGGGACTATTAAAGCTTCATCTGACGCAGAACCGGTGGGCTAGCCAGAACCCACGGGTTTGGGCCCTCCGCTGGGGATAGGGCCGCGCATGTGCTCATACTTGCGGTTAACTAAGGGCCATCGTGGTTGTGGTGCGGACCGAGACCCCTATGGCCGTCGACTGGGTTTTTAGCTAATCGGTGGCTGGGGGCAGTGAGAACCGCCCTGGAACGCGTGTGTACCTTATGTACGCGTTGTGTTGGTCTCGACGTGCTCGGAAGCGAGGGCGAAATAATGTGTTTAAACATTAATGTTTTTAAAACTATCGAAATACTACATATAAATGCTTATTATTATTATCTTATTTAATACTAACTTAAATAAGATAATATCTTAACACGAAATAAATCTCAACAAAAGATAGCTGTATTAAAATAATTTGGACACTTAAATATTAATTAGAATTGATTTATAGGTATGTTTATTTTGCAAACTGTAATTAATGAAACGTTTTTCATTTTTAGGGTTTCATACCTCAAAAGGTAAAAAAGTACCTTTATAAAATCACTCTCTTGTCCGTCTGTCTGGCCGTGTGTCACCACCGATTTTATTTAGAACGGATCAACGTAGCCAGTTAAAACTTATAACAGATCCTGAGTCTATAGTCCCTATTAGGTGTATAAATACAAGGTCCTGAGTGCTTGTTCTTATATTCTTCGTTTTCTAAGAACATTTATGTCTTTTTACCTTATGCTCTTTCGTCTTTCTAATTCTTTGATCTTACCTGTCTAAAAACCATAAATTTCTAATAGCCAATTACGAAAAATTTTATTATAACAAACTTAGAACGAATAACAAATCTTTATTTAAAACAAATAAACGAATTCTGAAGTAATATAGTTATCAGAATTACATCATGCCGCACACAACATACAGTCAAGTTTTAAACACATCCATTCTTATTGTCTAATCTACTTATCCTTCTACTGTATGTAGGTATATTGTTGCATTCCTCCTAATACAAGCAAACTGTACAAATAGTTAATGAACGAGCATAATTTATTAAAAAAATAAATTAAAATTAATAAAGTAAAATAACAGCCTATTAATCTCCCACTGCTGGGCAAAGGCCGCCTCTGTAAAGAGAGTATCAGGGCCTAGTCCACCACGCGAACCCAGTGCGGATTGGTGGACTTCACATATTTTCCAAATATAATTTTATTTAATTAATTTAAAGTATTATTGCATAAATATGCAGGTTTCCTCACGATGTTTTTTGAAAGTCGGTTTAAATAATCTGTTCATTCTATAAGAGTCCGGTCTTCGCACATATTGCTCCGAAGCAAACGGCTTTAGGTCATCCAGAATCGACTTTCGCGCAGAGATCTTGCGCAACATCGACTTACATGTAGATTTAGAGCTGCCAAATAACATTCAATTCCTGAAGTCGGCGTCGCCCCGCTACTTCGAGTCCGCAGCCGGGCATCCCAATCCGTTAGGCGTAGGTGCCGTCAACTACAGACCCCTACCACTAAGTACGTTTCGTTGCAAATGGCGCAGACCACGACACGTCTTTGATTTCCTTGACGATGAGACAACTATCGCCATCGACAGAATAAAACAATCACACCAGAACACACCCTACTCGCCGGCGAGTGCGGCAAACATATACTAGATTCCGTAACGTATCTGGCAGGTTTTCCCCGTTAATGATAGAAGCGTTGCTGGAGTTTCTTCCGCCACTTATTCTCTCAGCGCCAACGCTTTCCGAAGTGGTAGTAATGTTAGACCTAGAAATACTTCCAATCAGATAATAGCTACCGATCGAACTCTTGTGCACACTCGAATCGGAATGCTAAACGGGTATTGAGACACAGCCCGAGTCGAAGTCCCCTCTCGAGGGCTCTTGAGCCTAATAACTCCATGGAGCGTCCACCAAAGCGCCCTAAGAGCTTGGTGGCCTCCCAAACCGGTAATGATAATAATAACGTGACAGCCCGAGCCGAGGCTCCCTCGGGAGTCTTCGAGCTTAGTCACCATAACGCGTAACTGAGTAGTCCAAGTCCAGCGGATCTGTAAAGGCCCCTAAGGCCAACAGTGGTACTTCCTGTAAATCTTTTATTTGTTTATTTATTATTTTATTTTATTATTTATTTATTAAATATTCCTTCTCATAACGTACCCATCCACTCCTTATTTTCTCAGTTTCTGCTTCAAAACCTTTTTTTTTTTTCAAGCTTTTCCTAATATACTCATTTCGAATCTTATTCCTTTCTAATTCCACCAAGCATCCATCTCAACCCCCCCTTCAGTTTTAGGGGCATTCGTAGGCCACATGAAGCTTCGAAGAGCTGTCGCGAGACTATTTCGATAGATGAAGAGATATACAGAAATAATTGTTTTTATTTATATGTCCTCTCCCATTATTATTCATTTCTATTTACTATAACTTACGATCTTCTCTTGGGTTTTAAATATTAAACGCGCAGGACAGCAGTTAGTGCATTTAAACTTTCATCGCATAACGATGAATAAAGTCTATTGCACAGCATTAAATTACTTAGGTCCACCCAATAATGTTTAATAATATAGATGACGCATGCCCATACTGCACGGTGTTTAAAATTATTCCGCTTTACTTTTAGAATTACAGTCTAATTACACCAATTGGTGTAATTAGACTGTAATGAGGCACTCAACCTCAATTTCGGTACACATATGACTACACACAAGTACTTGTCCCGTGTGGGAATCGAACCTATGACCCCCGACGCCGAAGCCAATAGCTAAGCAACTGCCCCAACGATTCATCTATTATGTTTACTTATATAATATCATTATAACAAAAGATCATGGTCTGTAGAGCCATTCATTAGCTTCTCTTGTAAGAATTGGCTGAGTCGGCAAATAACGTCTGATGGCCTCAGGTGAGTAGAAATATTTTTATACTTTTGCAAGTGGTGAACTCGGAGACTTCATACTTATAAGAAGACGACGCTACCGAAACATCTTGGGTGTTACTGATCTTGTCTTGAATTAACTGATGTTTTTGCTTTCAGTCCCGAGACTATTAAAGCTTCATCTGACGCAGAACCGGTGGGCTAGCCAGAACCCAAGGGTTTCGGGGTGTTATTGGTCTCCGCAAGTCCGCAAGTCGTCTGCCACCAAATCAATATATTCCGCCAAAATAAAAGCGAAGCCTTTAAATGGATAAGCAGCAATCTACAAAAAAAAATATTTAGAATACAAAATTATTTACTCACAAAGAAAATGAAGATAAATAACAAAAGAAAAAATAATAGCACACATAAAAAAAAACATAGGCAGTCTCATGCGGACTGCCGACAGAAGCAAAAACATAAAACAATAATCCAAAATTAAATTGTAGTATAATAATTGTCTCGGAGTGTCTATAAAATATTAATTCTTCATATTTTATAGACACTCCGAGCGACACAAACAAAATTTACATCATATCCATAACTACAAAATATTTTTGCGTATTCCTTTTTTAAAAATAGCTCATGGAAAGCATTCGGTGATGATAACGCGTGCAAAAAGTACTTTTATATCTGGACGCGTGTTCCATGATTTTTGTTCACCCAAAAAGTGATGAACGCGCCTAGAGAACTTTTCTCTTCAAAATAATTGAAAAACTCTAAAAGAGATTAGCATAAACATAAAATAATGTTTTATATATATATATATATATATATATATATATATTAAAAGTTACATGTACTTACTAATAAAATTGAAACAAAAAAAAATAGGCCTTTCATTTCTATTTTTACCTGTATTCATAAATATTAATTATTTATAGTAGTTTGCATTGGCAACATTTATCAAATCGACGCGAAAAAGAGAATATTCAGGAAAAAAATTTATTCAATAGATTCAATACAGTTTATTAGTAAGCCTTGTCCCTTTTTAGTAATTATAAGCTTATATCTTAGATAATTTGCTTGATATAATTATTTTATAATAGAATATAGTATATTGATCGCAATTGTTTTGCCGGCAGGCCATTTCAAAGATGAGTTGTCCCTTCAATGAAGAGCAGTTAGCGCAATTAAAGGCCTTTATTGAGCTATGCAAAACTCAGCCACAAATCTTGCAACATCCAAAGCTATCTTTTTTTAAAGATTACCTCGTGTCTCTTGGAGTCACATTACCAACCGCAACTTTTGGCACTAAACATTTTACTCATTCTGGAGACGGGTATGTATATTTGTATTCGGATTACCATGTTTTCATATGATGTATGATTCTATTTGTGTTAAATTTCAGTGCTACCGATAACAATGAAGCTGCTGATAATGCCCAATCTTCATCAGGAGAGGACAGCGAGCCTGAATCAGATGTTGAACTTAATATGGAAGGTAAAAATGAAACTTTTTTGCCATTCAGGAAAATTAAGTATATTTTCTTAGATCTCTGAAAAGAATGTCTGTTGCATGGAACACATCATTAAAACTTATTAGATTTTAAATAACAATAGATACACTTAATAAAAATAAAAAATAAAGAATATGGCATAATTAGTAAAATTATACAAATAATTTTAAAAATTACACAACTTTACCCTACTGGAAATGCGCCAAATATGATATAACAATATGATAAATAATCATGACAATTATATTATTTAAGTTCATATTTGGCAGAATATTCGGTCATATAATCATAATAGACAATTATTTATAACCAACACATGATTACCTTTATTAACCATCACTTATTTACAAAATTAAAAATCAACATAATCCATGTTTAACTTAAAATAATCCACTTTGCTTACTACAAAAAACAACATTGACTTAATAAAATTTACCATTGAATAAACCATCAATTTCAAAGTATGTAATAATCATTTATTCATATTCCAAAAGTAAGATAAAAATAATTGAACATATGTTTCAAATCAACATATAATAAAATCTCACAATATTTAATTTAGTTTAGATGTATCGAATTAAACGTTACACATAGTTTCTTGTCATTCTAGACAAACTTAGACCAAATTATTTAGATGAATGTCTAGTTTTATTACTAGCTAAATTTTCTAAGACAGTAGATTTAATAAAATTATATTTTAATGTTTCAACATGTAATGTCTGTGGGATTAGTCAATTCATGTCTAAGAAAACTATGAAAAAGTGAGGTGCAGGTCCACAGCCAATCACATGTTGACACTTTCATCAAAATAGAACTCTAATTGGGTATTAAATATATAACATAAAAATGTCTTTCAACTAAAATACTAGGGATTTGACTTCTACTTGATATGAACATAAGTTAGACTTAATAAAATTTAGCACATGAATCTAAAAGATTAGTAGAGTAAGCTAAGTAGGGAGGCTTTTTTGAGTGTATCCATTTTTTTTATTAAATTCTAGACTAAATAATGTTATATAAAAAATATAAATATTTAAAATCACTTGTAATTAATTAAATACATTCATTTGAACTTATCTCAAAAAGTGCATGGTTTATGGGCAACTCATTTATTTTACGTGCGATCATTCATAATTAACATGCACACAAGTTCGTTTCAAAAATATACGACGCCATTATTAATGACTATCGCATTGTCAACAAGTTCTGTTTTCTAAGGAATGGAATGGCAATTATTTTGAAAAAAAAAGTTTCTTTTTATGTCAATAAACAATTATAGTACGAAGTCTGAACCACCCTGTATACAGAGTGTCGTTACCACCGCGACAATAAATGAACACACGTCTAACGCTACTTGCCAATAATCATAAATAAATATTAATGTTAAAAAATCCATAAAAAATATTGTTCAAACTAATTAAGTAAAAAAGATACAAAATTTGTAACATCCCTATACAACTACAACTGACTGATTCATACATTCAGAGACTTTTTCATTTGTTGCCACAGCGTCGCATTACAAGCCTCTCCATCTAACAGTATGTTTTGTCTCTTTTAAATTCATTCAACCCATTCATATGTTTTGTGACCTTTACAAATGAACTTTACGTTAAATTTTTATACGTAAGGTTGTTCCAAAATTGTTTGTTATGGAAAATTTAATAACTCTAAATATTGATTATTTAAAGAATGCAAATGCTTAATACAATTTTAAAAAGTTATCCTCTATATGTGTGTTCATTTATTATCGCAATTGTAAAGACACGCTGTATATAGTCCATAATCAAAATGTTACACCTCCAATTCTATATTTATCTTGTTACATAAGTATGCAAATTATGGTGCCAAACCACTACACAGTTCTTATTTGCAAATATATCAAAATTATTTGCAGCTTCATAAAACAACTTGCAACATAACAAAACTACAACCTAGAAATTTCCTTTCTTTTGGGCCCAAACAGGTGTTGTAGAAGGAGATCCTATTGATAACAATCAACTAATGGGTGAGCTTGGAAAGGAACCTACTGACGAAGAACGTGACCAATCGGACGAGAAGCGATCAGAAGCTATGAAAGCTTTCTCAGAACAAAACTTTGAAGAAGCCATCAAGCTGTATACTGAAGCTATCCAACTTAACCCGCAAAGTGCATTATTATTTGCTAAAAGAGGACAGGTGTGTATTAATAAAACTACATTCCAATTCCAAATGTCGCCATGAAAATTTAATTTGAAGATTTTAACATAAATGCAATATATACCCTAATTAGTGCATGTAAAACTTTAAAATATTGATAATTTCTAATTGAGTTGTGTAGTCTTAATTGTCTAGGCTGGACTTTACATTAAATTCCTCATTACAACTTCAAGCATAGACATTTCTGCTATGTTAAATTTTCTATATCTCAATTTAACATCTATAATATTTATATTATTAATACTTATACAGGTTGCACCAAAAGTATTTTGACTTTTCGAACAACAATGATTTCAAAAGTAATTAATCAGATAAAATCTATTTATTTGTTATGACATCACAGTATAAAAATGGGGATTTTTGTATAAAAAAACATCCCCATTTTCATTCACATGTGACCCTTGATTATTTTGGCATGGCTGTAATCTGGAGTGGAAATTTACAATGACAGCTTTATATGTTTGTTCTGTGAAATGTTTTGCATTCCTTGCAAATATTTTCCTTCCCTATATTTCTTATATATAAGAGACATAGGGTTGCTGTTAAAACTTTTAAAGGTAACCCATAAAAAAAATCCATTGGGGATGTGGCCAGTTAATGTCACCTCATATTGATATCACATTTTGCCCAAAAATTTTATGAATTGCACTCATTGAGTCCTTTGAGTTATGACATGTTGCCCCATCTTGCTAAAACCACGATTGTTGAAATCCATTTAAATGTTGTTGTGCTGGAGCCAAAAAGCTCTGGCATCAGCATGGCAATATAGTGCTCTGTATTCAATGTAACAGCATTTCCTTTTTAATAAAAATATGAACCAATAATGCTTGCTGACAAGGTTGCCATACAATAACTTTGGGTGAATGCAGGGGGTTTTGATGCTTCAATGTATGATTAGTATCATTCCCATACTTGCATTTTGCATGTTTCCTTTTCCATTTATATATACATAAAGCTGCTGAACCTCTTTTACATTTCGTCGAAAACTGGAGCCTGAGCAGCATGACCTTTCTGGAAAATGCGGTTTAAAGAGGTTCTGGGCAAATATAAGACTAAACTGCTCATAAGTAAAGAAGGCTAGGTTGTTCTCAAACAGACGCACTTTCACACTACGTTTTCGGATCCCTTGAAGTTCTAGGTCGGCTGCATCGTGGTTAATTCCTTGTTGAACCTGTCTCCACAAAATAATGCACTCATAGCCTAAGCGATTGAATCGATGGGGCGTTACTTTTATTGTAATGAGTGTTGAGATTAAAATTTTCATTGTGCTATAGTAGTTGTTTCGATATATAATTCGCGTTGTGCTCCGCTGAATGACGACATGGCGCTGAAACATATTTCTTTTATTTAGCCTTAATAACTGAGTTCTTGAACTAATGTAAGTATACCAAAGTCATTTTGAGTCGGCGCCAAACAAGCGTTTACGAAGTTAATTGAGAACTTTGTTACTAGTGGTGGTGCGGAGAGATCAAATTTTTGGGAGGTAAATGTTTATCGCTAGAGATTTTATGTTGCATTGTTGATTTGATCTGGTATTTCCTTAATTTCAAAGTAATTCTGTGATCTTTGTTCATTGATTGTTAGGCGCCGACCCAAAATTACATAGGTATACTTACATTAGTTTTAGAACTTAGTTATTAACAATTAATAAAAAAGGTTTATTATTCTTTGCTTATCAGTTTTTTCTGCAGTTTTTTTTTGTAAAAAAGTTTTTATTTTACGATTTTTTGTGACTATAATCTACAAATAGCTACATGCTTAATTTTTGTTTATTTTTAAAATAGCTACCTACCATAAGTAATACACAATTTAGCATTAAAATCTGTGAGTGAACAATAAATCAACTAACTATTTAGGGTAGGAATATTTTTCCCAAATTTATATGGGACCTACCAAAATCCGACTACTCTGTAATGAGTTATGTGTGGTCATACATAAAAAAAATACGCTTCGGCTTGAGAATCTCCTCCGTTTTTCGTCGGTTAAAAAGTAAAAAACAAAGAAATATTTATCCCACTTAGGACAAGAAATAGCCTAGTGTGGGGATCAGTTCATAAGGCATATAATATGTAGAAGTTTTTTTTTTTTTTTTTTAAGTAAAGTAATTTGTATTTGTATTTTTGGTTCAAAATCAATAAAATACAGGATTCGGTTTCGGTCGTAGTTTTGGCAGGTTTGGCGCCGAAACCGAACATTCCGTCGGACATATATATATATATATATTTATCGTACTTTTATTCATTTTTGCAGGTATATCTAAAATTAAACAAACCAAATGCGTGTATTAAAGATTGCACACGTGCTCTGGAATTAAATTGCGATAGCGCTGCTGCATATAAGTTCAGAGGACGGGCATACAGGTAATACATATTTAGACAAACATTTATATGTCATAAAATCTGGACGAAATTGGATTTCAGTAAAATTTGGGGGTTTTCTTTTCATTAGCACCGGGTGTTCTTCTGGTAGAGAAAAATCACTAATGAAATAATCAACATGCAGAAGTTTCTGGTGACTTATATTAAAAGAAATAATATTTAAAAACCTATTATTTTAAGAAAGTCAGCCATTGTATTAATTTGACTTCACTGAATACACAGTGCTGCCAACTTGATAAATATAGGAAGCAGGCGAAGTCATACTTGTATTGATTGTAAAACAATCAATATACAGCGTGTCGTTACCATCGCGACAATAAATGAACACACATATAGGGGAAAAATTTTTAAAGTTTTATTAAACATTTAAATTCTTTAAACATCAATATTTACAGAGTTATTAAATTTTACAAAACAAAGACTTTTAGAACACCCTTACCTATAAAAGCGTAACGTAAAGTTCATCTGTAAAGGTCACAAAGCTTATGAATGGGTTGAATGAATTTAAAAGAGACAAAAAATACTGTTAGAAGGAGAGGCTTGTAATGCGACGCTGTGGCACGAGTTGTATAGGATGTTACAAATTTTGTTTTTTTTAACGACACGCTGTATATACAGCGTGTCGTTACCATCGCGACAATAAATGAACACACGTCTAACGCTACTTGCCAATAATCATAAAAAAATATTAACGTTAAACTAAATCCATAATTAAAAAAAAATATTTTTCAAACAAACTAATTAAGTAAAAAAGAAAAAAAATTTGTAACATCCTATACAACTCGCGCCACAGCGTCGTATTACAAGCCTCTCCTTCTAACAGTATGTTTTGTCTCTTTTAAATTCATTCAACCCATTCATATGCTTGGTGACCTTTACAAATGAACTTTACGTTACGCTTTTATAGGTAAGGCTGTTCTAAAATTCTGTGTTTTGGAAAATTTAATAACTCTGTAAATATTGATGTTTAAAGAATTTAAATGCTTAATACAACTTTAAAAAGTTATCCCCTATATGTGTGTTCATTTATTGTCGCGATGGTAACGACACGCTGTATATGTCGATTGTTTTACAGTTTTATTTTTAGGGGTAGGTACCGTAAGAATTAAGATCACATACAGTTAATTGCAATACAAAAACAGCAATAATGGAGAATTTTACCAAAATTACAATTATTATCTACTAATTCAAGGTTATTGGGCAAATTTGAAGAAGCGTCCCATGACCTGTGCGAGTCACTAAAAATTGACTATGATGATCAAACCAATGAATGGTTGAATGATGTCAAACCTAATGCAGAGAAACTGCGTCAACACAAGCTCAGTGTCCAGCGTAAAAAGGAGGAAAAAGAGGTATATTTGGAATGATATTTAACTCGTATTTTTATTATACATATGACAACATTATTATGCTAATTATACTTTTTACTATTATGAATGGTGGGATTATTAAGCCCTTAACAAGCTTGCGCTACCCGGCTTGTTAAGAGCTAAACACATTCAATGACTTACAATCAGTACAAATATAAAGTTTTGTCAAAATTATGTCATTCGTTTTCGATCTATTGACGACTAAGCAACTCGAATTTGGAAAAAGTTTGGAAAATGAAGAAAACAGAGTATCGCTTCTCCGGAACTGGTTTAAAATGTCGCAAGTCTAATATTTTTCTTAAGTGCAAATATATAAAAACTCTACAGCGTGTCGTTACCATCGCGACAATAAATGAACACACATATAGGGGATAACTTTTTAAAGTTGTATTAAACATTTAAATTTTTTAAACATCAATATTTACAGAGTTATAAAATTTTCCAAAACAAAGAATTTTAGAACATCCTTACCTATAAAAGCGTAACGTAAAGTTCATTTGTAAAGGTCACCAAGCATATGAATGGGTTGAATGAATTTAAAAGAGACAAAACATACTGTTAGAAGGAGACGCTTGTAATACGACGCTGTGGCGCGAGTCGTATAGGATGTTACAATTTTTTTTTTCTTTTTTACTTAATTAGTTTGTTTGAAAAATATTTTTTTTTAAATTATGGATTTTGATTAACGTTAATATTTTTTTATGATTATTGGCAAGTAGCGTTAGACGTGTGTTCATTTATTGTCGCGATGGTAACGACACGCTGTGATATAAGACTATAAAAACTTAATATAAGAATTTCAGTACAAACTAGATTATTTTAATAATTTTAGCGTTAATGCAAAATATGGTTGTACATTAAATAAATGTTACCTCTCCACTAACAATAGTTTACTTTCAGCACCGTGAAAAGTTACGTCGTCTTCGTAAGGCGCAGGAGGCGCGTTCTAATGCAGCCAAGGCCCAAGCCAAAGCACATGCTCACACAGCTCCTGGTGGCATGCCAGGACCTGGTGGATTTCCTGGTTCTGGAATTTCTAACGATGATTTGACCAGTCTTCTAATGGACCCGGAAGTTGTATCTGCTTTCCAGGTCTGAATGTTTGTAATATAAATGTAATTTGTAACCTTCTATACTGGGAGGCTTTTCGAAAAGTGCCCAAATTTACACAGGAGGTTCAGACTCGGTAGTATAATCGTTTATTGAATTAAAAACAAAAACATTTCTTTCAAAAAAAATTGCCATTCTATTAAAAAACAGAACTTGTTGACAATGCGGTAGTCATTCATAAATACCTAAATTTTACTGTGCACGCACACAAACAAAATAAGCGCTCGCGATAAATCGGAGGCGACCCGTGCCGGCACGGCGGCGTCCAAAGCGTTGCGTCATAAAACTTCGTTCCCTTCCCTTTCACCCTCCCGCGGCGACCGCTCTTTGCGGCCGCTGCCCTTAGCACTTCGTTAGTTTCAATTTGACCGTGACCTATTTATTTCTAAAAACCGTGACCGTGACCTATTTATTAGTTCGACCTTAAGGGTCGCGCGTGCTATTTTTAGATTTGCTTATCTCTAACGATGTCGAAACAACAACGCAGTTATTAGAACCGCGACTATTAGGAGATGGTATGGTGCTACATTTTAAGTGGTGAAAGTTTATGTGGTGCGCAAAGACTTTATGAAAGTGACTCTTTACCGCGTTTAAAAAGACAGGCAATGAACTCAAGTGTTCCTAATCAAAGGACGATTTTGGCAGCCAACCAAAGGTTATTTATTAGATTTTGGACAATTTATTACACCGGCTTATACAATGCTCAGACACAAGTAATGTTAAAAAATAGTTTGAGAAAGCTTGCTAAGCTTTGTATTGAGAAAATTGGACGCGTTTAGTAACAAACTTTAGTTGTGTGCGTGTCACAATGTAGATAGATGTCGACATTTATTCATCGTATACTTTTGAAACGGATTTGTGTGCGTGTTAGTTATGAATGATCGCGCGTAAAATAAACGAGTTGCGTATAAATCACGAACTTTTTGAGATAAGTCAAATGAATGTGATTAATTACTTACGAGTGACTTTAAAAATTTATATTTTTTTATAGAACATTATTTATGTCTAGAATTTATTTAAAAAAATGGATACACTTAGAAAAGCCTCCCTGTATAAATCTTCATAAATAATAGTATGGCAAAACTCATACAATAACAATAATAAATTTGTGCCTTTGATTATATTATGAAGTAAAAACATATAAATTACATTTTATGAAGTAATTTTTTTTTATAGGACCCTGAAATTATGAATGCCTTTCAAGATGTATCCGCAAACCCTGCCAACTATATTAAATATCAGAATAATCCAAAGATTACTGCAGCATTCCAAAAGTTACAAGGAAAGTTTAGTAGAGTTGGCTCTATGCCTTTCAGTGGAGGCTTCCCAGGTTTGATTATTATATTTCATTCCTTATTAACATATTATCTTCTTAAAGCTCATTTTTCGATTGACTGCTAATTTTATTATTGGTGGTAATTGTAGCTCTATTCTGAAATATCTTTAACAATTTTTGTTTGATTGTTTTTATTCAACAACAAAAATCTGCTAAGCTGCTCATTGTTTGGGAATTTTTAATGCAAAATTGAAAAATTATGAAATCGAAAGTTCATTACCAATGTTTTAACTGGCGTGGCCACTATTTACTGTATTAAAACTAATTAAATACCGACATTACATATCACTACAAAAATTTTAATAATATTTGATTGCTTGAAACTAAATACATTCATATGTTATCACATACTAGCTGCTGCCCGCGACTACGTCTGCGTAGAATAGGCTGATGGCGTAACATTCAGACAGAAAGACATACATAAATATATATATATATATATATATATCATACATAAATTATAGCCTATAAGTCTTATTCATTATCGTTCTATAACGCTAAAACGTTCTATAACTCTCCGATAAAGTGTTTTGAATATACACAAGCTAGGACCCGATAAACCACGGTCTTTTCAGTCCATACATTTGATATTTGTATGGAGCTAGTTCATTCCGTTTAGTTCCGTCCTTCGAAGACAGGTGGTGTTGTTTTAAATGCAAAACCATTTTAGCCTTGGTACCATTAAATTAAGAACAAAATTTTATTTTAAGTTAAAATAAATAAAAAAAAAGTTGTATGTATGATTCTTATTTTGGAGAAAGTTGTATTTTATTAAACAAAAATTATTAATTTGGAAAAAAAGCACAAAATATAATGTAATAGTATTGACAGCATTGGCCTATGTAGTATTTTAAATTGTTCCGCCATAAACTCTTATTGTGAATATACTTCGGCTACTCATAATACATTGAATTAATTTACTATGTAATATAAAATCCCAAATGGTGAGGAAATTTTTCATTAAGGAAGTTTTTTTTTTGAAAACAGTGGATTTTAGGAGGTTTTTGAAATACTTTAGTATTTCAAAAACCTCCATTACATTCAGTTGTATTTGCTTGAAAGAGTAACAAACATCCATCCATACATACAAACTTTAGCCTTTATAATATTAGTAAGGATGAATGTATTTAGCTTAAAGATTACAGAACTACTATTACAGAGAATTTTCGTACAAATAATCCTAAGGTTTATCCAGTACTTTAAAAATAACTTATTAAAATATCTGTTAATAATAATGTTACCTACCTATTACACATGTTTCGTATCTGCCTCCTTTATTAGCTATGGCTATAGAAAATGTGTTCATAGATGTAGAGTTTGGGCAGTAATACATTTCACCCAAATGATGACAAATAAACTAGGTGACTCCGTAGCGCAAACTTCAAGGTATTGGCTTCGGCGTCGAGGGTCGTGGGTTCGATTCTCACACAGGACAACTATTTGTGTGACCGACAGATAGTTGTTTCGCATCTGGGTGTTTGTGGAAATTTATGTATGTAAAACGTCCTTGCAACACAGGATAATGTTTAAAGAAAACAAATATGTTAATTTTAATTTGGTACTAGTCTTATATTAAAGTCTATAAACATTTGCAGGATTTGGAAGAGCAGGTGCCGGTGGACCAGGTGCCGAACCAAAAGCTACAGATGATGATGTGGGCCTTGATTAGACTATTAATTTACTAGAAAGAAAACCACATATGATAAAATAAGTGCTAAATTACCACACCCAATTATATTCACAGATTTAGTAAACATAATTTTAATTACAAGTTGTATCAAATGAAATAAATATGTTAAACTTGCTTACGTTTTTGCTTGTTAAATATGTTGTGGCAAAGGTATATGTTTGTATAAATCTAAGGCCTCTAAAATGATTAAAATTAGAATATATAATCTAAAGTACAATACAAATGGAATATTTTATAATTCACTTCGGTGAATGGTTTCTATTACGCGCACGTCAAGTTATCGCACCACGCAAGTGGCCGAAGTCTAGCATTAGTGCAAGGTCATATCTTATAAGATTGTATGTTGAACAACGCCGCCCAGTTTGATGAGAAAAGTTCTTTATTGTATATTCTATTCACCATGTTATGACTATTATAGATTAATTAAGAATAACATTATAGTAATTCCTCTAAGCCGTGTATCATATTGATGGATTAAATTTTTAAATTATTAGTACTGAATTTAAAAATCTTCATATAAATATCAACTTCGTTATTCATATCAGTTCCTATATATTTCATTAAAAACAATAAATATTGTATGAAACTTTTAAAATATGTATCTATACTTTGTGGTTCTGGTTCTTCTTTGTTAATAGAGAGACTTATAAAACTTGTTAATACAAGTAAAAGTAATATATTTTACATGAGATCTATGAAAACAGTTATATTTAATATCAAAGACTATTCATTAATGCACATATTTTTAATAGTTGCCTTTTATGATATTGCAGTCAGTGTGTGAGATTAAGTGAAATATTTCAGCCCACACAACAGAAATCTGGCTTAAAAATAGAAGTTTTTTATAATTTACTGTTCTTACTGTTTATCATTTTATTATGATACTAATAATTTGTTGCTTTGTGAAAATAATAGAGGGATATAAATAAAACTAAAGAAAATAGTCTGACATAATTGTAATTATGAATGGTATAAAGTAAATAAAAGCGAATGATAATTGAATTTTTAATGCTACACAAAGTAAAATTTTAATAGCTTGTTTCATATTTGTACTTCCGAAAATTACGGCATATTGAGAGAACATTTTATGTTGCAGTTTTGCTTAAAGAAAAATATTTTTGATAATTATCTTTTTTTTTTCTTCGGTTTTATTGTAATATTGTTCATAAAAAAAGAACATATTGTGTTCTATTGTTCAAGTCTGAATTGGTGAATAGTAACAAGTTATTAAGAAGGTAATTTGTTTATTTTAATTATTGATAAATATAGACTGGCTGATTATACTTTTAATTTTATATTCAATAAATGGTTGATAAAACATTAAAAAACCTGTTTTCCTTGTATAGACCATTATTAATTAAACCCCAAAGATCATGTAAAGAATTACCCTTTTACAAATTGTTTATACTTGTTTGTGGATGTCACCAATTTTATAACAGTTGGATGTATCTACCAAGAAACGACTTTCTGGTTTTAGCCAGTCTAAACCTCGATACTTCCAGATATAGCGGGCAGCTTCAAGTGTTACAGTGATGCGCGCGCATATTAAAATTTCACTCTCATCATTTTTTCATAATACACCTAAAGAAGTATAACTTCAAATCATATATGCGGGCAGCGGTGGGCTGTGCTATCATTATTTGTAAAAGCTACCTTAAAGGCACGGGCTTACTATAATGTCCAAGAATACATTGAGGACAAGAATGTGTGGAAATGACTCTTGCTCTGCACTTCAAGACCCCTGGATACTACTGATTTTATACCTAAATAAGTTTGTATAATTGCATCACAAAAAAAAAGAACAATACCGCAGAGTTTCTTGCCGGTTCTTCTCTGTTCAGGTCTAGGTTGGTGAATCGGTGGTAGATTTTTTGGTGACGTTCAATAAGAGATTAAGTTAAGCCTATATTGAATAAAGATTTTATTTATTTGTTTCATCATCATTATTTGTTTATTTAATCTTAATTGCCAACCTTCAGTAAAACAAGGTAACAAAGGGCGGACTTAATGCCCAAAGGCATTCTCTAACAGTCAACCCAGGATGTGGTGAGTATATTTGGTGTTAGTGTTAGGAGAGATTTGTAATGACACGTGGCGACCAATGAAAAAGTCTCTGAATATATGAATCAGTCAGTTGTAGTTGCATAGGATGATACAAATTTTGTTTAATTTTTATTTAATTAGTTTGAAAAAAAAATTTACTTATATTTTTTTAACGTTTATATTTTTTCTGATTATGCAAATATTTAAATATATATAAAGATGTATACTTGTATAAATAAATAACAATTAGCTTCTACTTTTAACTACAGTCCATATCTTAAGTCGAATTTGTCTTTAACAGGACGTTCACGAACCAGTATTTTGAAAGATGTCTTACTTTTTGCATATTACGTACGTAAAGATTATTTGACTTTGACACCGCTTATTTTTTTATATATGGCAGCATATTCTCAATCACATTCGCCCCGATACAGTTCTCAATAAAGAATGTAGATGGCGCTTTCATAATTTTATTATTTATATCCTTTTATACGTTCTCGTTTTGTTCATTCTCGATTTTCATTTTTGTAAATTACCCAAGATTATATTCAATTCAAGATCATGCTGTAGATCAGCTGTACTCAATCTGCAGCCTGCTGGCCTTTTGTGGTTTAAAATAATTTATTTTAGACCATTTTGAATTTCGCGCCGATTTAAAATTTTAAAGCGCTCTGAGTAAGCAGGTTCTAGATCAGACAACCGCATCGCCATAGATATGCGCGCAGTGGTGGGCTGTGCTATAATGGATGCGGTAATTTGCCGTACTATACGGCAATTTATTTTTTAACATTTTCTTTAAGACGTCTGATTATATCATGGCAATAAGTTATAATATTGCCGTAAATACGACAAATCAAGTTTGGATTAGATATGTTTTGCATTGTGCCTTTTTCGTTCCGTATCGAGCGAGACCGCGGGAATCCCCTTTCCTTGACTTCCGTGTCGCTTTGTTTGCAGAGCGCTTAGCACAGGAATTTATTGGAAATGCTTTTTTCTTTACCAAATGAAATAATAATGTTTTTAGAGCAGTGTATTCTGAATAACAAGATGACGGATGGTGGTGTGTTTTAGAGCTTCTTTGTTATCGAAAACTTACAAGGTGAAAATACGAGTAGCATAGTGTCACAAATGATAATAATATATCTGTTTTTGAGTAAAACAATCTAAGCATTTATCAGGGAGAAATACAGAACAGACGGCGATAATATTTTGCAACTATGATAAAGTCTACTGAGGACATATATGTATCCGAAGAACTCTACAATTTCAAATTATTTTGTTGCCCTGAATGATAACCAGTAGCAATAAAATATTATGGTTTCTCTACTGGACTTGTTCTTTGTACTGCACCTTAAATATTCCCTCATGCCGGCTCCCAAAAGTTCTAATAAACGAAAGTCGTCCACGTCAGTCGTTTGAGAGGCCGTCGTAATTCCTCGATCGAGGCGGCCTATTCTTACAGCAGAAGCTGTTGTTGCTCTAACAATAATAATATTGCAGAAAATAAATAAAATACGGTAATTAATTCAATACCATACCATGTCTAAAACTTCAGGCCAAAAATAATGCAGTATAGCGACAGTCGCACTGTGAATCGCTTCGCGCTTCCTAGGATTTTGAATAAATGTCAATATTACTGTTTTGAATGTTACAGTAAATACCTTTGATCACAGTTTACCCGCGCAAAATTAAAATCGCGAATGCATGTACATACATACAAATTTGTGAAAAATATTTCGCTTCATTTTTCTTCGCAGTGCATGTAACCTTATAGAGAAAGGCAACGTTGGAGCCACTATGAGTTTGGAAGTGTCTAGTCTGCCACTAATGGCCATTTAGTAAGTAGGATTACTTAGCCGCTAGAAGTAGTACTAAAAAAACTACCTACCGCAAGTTATTAGGTATTCAATCGTGTTCATTCAACACAATCCAACAAATTAGCCGGGCGGAAATGTCATAGACTCTTTTATACACACTCGCTATGTCGCTTCAACCACTCGACCTTAGGATATAATATTATATCTTAATTTAAAATTAGTGGCAGTATATTCATTTTTAGGGTTCCGTACCCAAAGGATAAAAGGGGACCCTATTACTAAGGCTCCGCTGTCTGTCTGTCCGTCTGTCACCAAGCTGTATCTAATGAACCGTGATAGACAGTTGAAATTTTCACAGATGATGTAATTCTGTTGGCGCAATAACAACAAATACTAAAAAACAAAATAAAAAAATATTTAAGTGTGGCTCCTATACGAGAAAAGATTTTTTCCGTTTTTATAGATAATGGTACGGAACCTTTCTTGCACGAGTTCGACACTTACTTGACCGGTTTTTATTAAATGGCCACTGGTGTCATACTTGACACTTATGAAATTAAAGATTTAACGAAAGTTTACGATGACTATTGTGCTAAGAGCGTTAATACACACACGTAATATATGGTGTTTGTGTATTGATGATAGATGATTATTCACGTTTAATTTTGCCAATACGAAAGCTAGCCATGTCGTCAGCTCGCTTGACAACTTTTCACATAAAAAAGGCATAATATGGTATTATGGCTTTAATATGAAATCTCTCTTCGCCTTCTGTATAATTGAATACTTACGCTGTCTTTAGTGCAATGATATAATGCTATGACGCATCTATATAAAATGTATTGTATATAGAGTCAAGTTAAATATAAAATGTTAAGTTATGCCGTTCCGACCAGAAAACCACAATGAAGTTTTAATGCTTGAAATGAAAAAATAAAACATCAATAAGTACTATTGAAATATGATTCAATGCACACTATTTATTCTCATCAAACATCATTTACTCTTCCCCACCTTAATCTTATTTTCTTTTCATGTAACTTCAACCAGGACGGCATAGTCGCTGGTAAAGGTTGAGCATTGGGGAATCGCAAGGGTGGAGGTGGAGCTTTGAAAGGATCTTCTTTTTTGAGCTTACGTAATAAATATTCCTTGTTAACTTCCTTTGGATCCCTGTACTTGTCCATATAAAGGTTGAAAGGCTTCCTAAGTGGAAACCATTCTTGTGGCCTTATATAAGGTGGTGGGAAGTCATACTCATAAACTGAAATAAGTTTATTAATTTGTTACTGTTAAATTTTATATATAAAATTGGTGATAGTAAAAAACCAATTATCATCTAAATATTGATTAATTACTATAAATAATAATACAATATTATGTTAAAACTAGAGGTGCGCCGAATATGGGTTTAACCTAATATGAATATTCAGCCGAACATTTGGTTCAAAGTGTACCCAATACAATATTCAGCAGAATAATTAGATACCACGAATTAATATACATGGTTGTTAGTTGTATATTACCTCACGGTAGGTTAAATGTTAATACACACAGTACTACGAGGTACTCTCACATGCATGATCCGATAGAACTTAATGCTAGTAGCAATTCCTATTTCGGTACTAGGTACTTTTAACATCGAATACTTCTTTCGATAATAACGTATCATAGAGAAACAAGTTCATACTTGCAGCAAATGAGTTTTATTACTGATGATTCAAAATAAGGAAGCATCTGACTTTTGTTGTCAATATGGCAAATGTGACAAATATCTTTTCTAATCGTGAGTGTGGAACTTTGTCTACATCAATGGCGTTTAACCCCCATCCCCTGGCTGTTGTTCTTTCTCTGGATTTCGGCGCCCAGTTATTGAGTCAGTCTCAGTCATATTGTTCTGGTCTCAACTGTAGTTCAATCACGCGAAGCAGAATATTTTTTATTGTATACTCTTCATTTTGGAACCAATAAGGTTTATTGAATGACAGTGAATATGTCATTTAGAGAATCTTGAATTATTTTAATATGGTGATAAGAATAAATGATTATTGAGTATTTTATAATGGTTCATTTTATTGAATTATGAATTAAATTTAGTGGACATAACTATGTTGACTTTTGTGTATTATGATTTCTACTGTGTTTATTTTAGATTTGCTTCATCTGCAAATACTGTGTGCGGTTTGAGAATTTACCCATAAAGAAATGCGCCGAATACATCAAATACAAATATTAGGCCAAACCTCAGCACATCTCTGGTTAAAACATAGAAAACAATAGTTGTGTGTGTGAGTGATTATGCTAGTTTTGAGCACCTTATAACATTTTTTTTTCATTTAATATATGAAAAAAATCAAGTTACATATTCAATAGATAAAGTTGATTAAAGTTGAAACTTTTAATATTAGATGTATTTGTCCTTTAATCAGATTCTGCTTACGTTATTGTAATTACCTGGTTCCTTTGTGTTCAAAAAATTATGGAAAAAATCTTTTACTGTGGAGTCCCAATCAGACTGGTAGAATGCTAAACCAGTAGGGGTTATGACATCCTGATACTTTTGATACCACTCTCGAGTCTGAAATGTTCTATCTTCAAGAGGTGATGAAGAGGTAACTGTAAAAAATTGACAATTAATTAACTTTTTGTACTAAAATTAAAATGTCAATTAATTTGCAATATTTAAAAAATAATATAAACTTAGTTGGCAGTAGTGGTATGGTAATGTAAAAAAAACATAATATCTTGAGATGAAAATAGATTTCACTTTGGGAAACATGTACATCTTTTTAGTTTTTTACCCACAACCTAGTTAGTGTTTGATTGAATGAAAATGCTAATGTACAGCTCAGCAACAGCCTGTTTACTATTGACTTTTAGACAATGAAATTAAAACACAAGAATGACATAGTAAACCTGCTTCTTACAACAAAGGTATACCCCTATAGAATAACATTGTGTAAGGAATATGTTGTTTTTCTAGTGTCTGGCTGTTAATATGTTTATAATATTTATTCATTTACCTAGTAACCTTAAAAATATTAAAAAGAAATCTATTCCACTCACTCAAAAAGGGGGGGATTAAATTATGTACAGTCTCTGAAATGTAACCTCATTGTAGCTATATATATGGTAGCAGTTTTCATCATAATCAAACTTGGCCTTTATAAAAGGATAGAAGCCACATTTTGAAATACCACTGCACCTTTGCAAGTTTCCAGCTTCCTATTGCCCAGTATAGAAGAGGAATTTATGTGGTTTTTAATGGAATAGAATCCTACAATATTGCCATCACCCCAATTGGAGACTGTTAGCTTGCAATGTGAGATTCACACACTAAGTCTTTTTACCAAATTAGACCTCTACTGGGTTGAGTAATCAGTCATTCAACCATTTGTAACTCTACAATTGTGCAGTTAACTGCATACTCATAAACACCAAGCATCAGTAGACATGGACAGACCCCAGAGGAGCCCCCGTGTTGGTCCTCACAGGCTAGGAAGCACTGCCACCAATGACAATAATGACCATTTGGAAAGTCCATCACCCAACTGATTAGGCACGAAGATATGCGGTATGCTAGCAGCTGTCTGATAAGGCTATTATTGTGCCTAACTCTGTTAAAGGCCATCAAAATATCAAGGGAAACTGCAAGTGCTTCTCATTTTTTCTCAAGGGCTTCACCCCAAAGGTGAATAGCATAGACTAGAAGATTCCCATTCAATCAATTACTGTAAAATCCAGCTGACATATTGAGATGGTTGTTTTGTTCTAGGTATGTAAATTTAGGCTGGTGTTCAATAAAGACTCCATAATCTTACAGAGTATGGAGGTAATTGAAATGGTTTAGTAATTAACAGGTTCAGCACAGCTGCCTTTTTTGGTACAGGCTGTACATTAGCTGGCTTCCAGGATTTAGGCATAACAAGTCTTTGAGGAGAGGCTGAACAGAAGTATCAGCTTAGAAGACAACTCTTATCTTAAGAACTAATGCTAGTACACCATCCTGTCCATTAGTTTAATTCACATCCAGACTCCATAAAGTTTCCAAAAGGCAAATGGAAACATTCATATAATACAAAGTACTTAATTAAAATTTTAGCTATATTTCAGCTACTAAAAAGTCATACCTTTATGTACATCATAGGATACCTTTTCATTTTGTTTGTATAAAACAAATACATATCGATGATATCCAGTTCCTTTAAGTGGGAAAGGTCTCAAGTAGTCAACAATAGTATCACCCTCTTTAAAAGAATTTCCAGGAATATTAGCCACTAGCCAATGGACATACTCTTTATCATTTTCATGTAAATGTCCATCTAAACTTGACAAAACCAGGGTGTATAATGTGCTTTTGTCTGCCTCATATGTGACCTGGGGTTTTTCAACTGCCTCTGATGGTTTGATAACATTTCCGGTATACACAGGCAAGTTTGATCCATTTTTCAAGTCATATTGGATGTTTAAATTAGTATAAGGCATAAAATATCCTTCTCCATAAAGATGTTCGAAAACGCCATAATGATCAGCCATTAGTTTTTTATGGTATGGACCTACTGTTTGTAACCATTCTTTTTTTGCATCACTCAAATTTATCTCCAATTTATGATTACGAGCTAAATGCTCAATATCTTTATCACTTTTCAATTTTTTTATGTGCTTCAATTGGTCGTTTTGTGAATTTTTTATTTTCCTGTAATAAAACTGCTACTGTCTTAACATTTAAAAATAAGGACCTAGAAAAGTTTTAACCTATTAAAAGAAAACTTACTTATCCCTAGGAAATCCAATATCTATTCTTGTCGTGTATAGTTCATCTTTATAATTAAGTTCGTCTAAGCGTTCTTTAATTGTTCTACAAAATATTGGAGGTTTTCCTCTGAGTCTGTGACCCAATCGTATTTGTTTCATTTGTACATTATGAATTAATGGTCTACTAAACGCATTAAACATTTTTAGTTGTGTTTTATGTTACAGAACCCTACAATAGTTTTATTTAATTGTTAATATAGTTTACCTTTTTTTAGAAAATTTACTTCACAAGTCAACGAATAAAGTTAAGGTTATGTAGGATGTATGTAATGTAAATGTAGGTATGAGGTATGATTTATAACTAAATATATATATGTCAATTGTCAATGTCAAATCGATAAAAATCAAATCTAACAGGAATATGAAATACTCGATAATAATATTAATCGATTACATATATTCGACAACATTGCGATAACTTCTTTCCAATTATTATTACATTATATTAATTTTTCAAAGTTTTTATAATTTACAAATCTACAGTTGTGGTGGAGACTCTTGGTTCTTCTATTGCTGTTCTAAATGATGGTTTGCAAAATAAATCTGTTGAAAATAATTGCAACTTCAAGCAAGTTCATTAAAATCCGATAGGTGACATCCCCTGGTAGTGGGTTCGTTAATTGCGATGCCATTAGCTGAATTTAAAAAACGTCCCTTATTTACTTGAGTAAACTTATGCAAAAAGTGATTGCAAGAAGCTATAGACCACCCCCTTTTTTCTCACTTATGTAGTTCCGATTTTGCTAAGGTTTTTTACTATGTAGTACAAAGTTAGTTAAAACATGATGTTAAATTCGATGGCTAATAAAAAAGTTATTACTTTGTCTCATTTTTCATTTATTGCATATATGACGCCCGGTTTCTGAAACACTGATCATCGTAGATGTCAACTAATCAGCTGTCAAATGACTTTTCACATTTCATTTTAGTTGCTAAAAAGATGGTTAAACTCTCATAATTGACCAGAATGATCTTCTTAATGATCACAATGATTAATTCAGAGTTTAACCATCATTTGACAGCTGATTAGTTGACATCTAAGATGATCAGTGTTTCAGAAACCGGGCGTTAGTGTTATAACCTTAACAATTAAATTCTATCGATAATGTAAAAATCGATGTTTTCTATTATTCGATAGTCTTACATCCCTATGTAAAGTGAAAGGTATCGCCATCCATATACATCTCATTACATAAGTGTGAAATCTATGGGCATCTCTGCACTAGATATTTAGGCAAACTGTAACATTTTTTATACTGTATTTTTAAAAAGTTTTTCATTTTCTTCTATATGTCCTTATCCCAACTTTCTGGGTTAGTTAGGTCTATACAACCATTGCTGTTTGTTAACCCTTATTAAGCAAAAATAAACATTAAGGTCCGCAACAACTATCTGTGGGTCGCACAAATACGTTCCCAAATTCATATTAAAATATCTTTATTCAATATAGAAGCATACTTACTTGTTGATTGTCAATAAACACTACTACTGGTTGGGAAAAAAGCCACTGACTTGATAAAAACCGGTGAAAGAAACTCAGTGGGACATTTTTCCCAGTGTGGGAATCGAACCCATGACCCCTGGCACCTAAGCTAATCGCAAATGTGCCACACGAGTCATCAAATAAAACTACTAACTGTAAAACTACTTCATTTTACAAATATAAAATAATCTGTATGTAAATAATATTATTAATTATGTGTCACACTTTTGTTGAACATTTTATGTGTCTCCGTTATGTTTGTATGTCCAGTATGCTTTGTATCTCTTTTTATAGCTTTATAATTAAATACATAGCTTATTATCAAAGCCCTAAATTTTAAATCTAATTCTCCTATCAGGGTTCAGGTGAACATAAATTTGCGGTGAAATAGGTAATCAACATTTCCGATTACACACGTATTAAGATATTAGTATCACAAACAAGGATTTTTGGGCGAAAACTCGAAAACATTATATACCATTTTAAAATAAGACGTGAAATAATAAAGCTAAATTAATTTAGCATATTTTATTATTTCCAGCAATTTTTTACAATAGTTGCTTAATATTATTCAGACTTTTTTCATTACACATTTGTGAATGAAGATACATTTTTCAATTGTTTCACTTCTTAGTACTTTAAGTTATTTAAAACACCAAAAATATAATACTAGAAACCTTTATGTAAATGTACAATTTCGGTGTAAAATTCGACATTACATCAATTCTATTGCTATGATCGTAAGACTGCTTATGTATTATGTAGCAATTTTATTCAGATCGTATTATAACCGGAAGATGCCCGTATTAGAAATTACCCAAAGAAAACCGTTATCGAAAATAATGACAAATCGTATTGTAAAAATACATTTTAATTATTTAAAATTCTTTTACCATTTTTTAATCCGATTTTTGTTTATTTAAAAAGTCAAATGAAAATGCTTATACAGTATGTAAGTTGTATTAAAGGAAGTAAAACATGCTCAGTGTTGATTGATCGGCACTGCCAACGTGCAGATCATAAATGTTTTCTCACAGTTCTCTACGAAACGTCTACTCTACTCTACAATATAACAATAAACCAATCGACTCGACTGTACTTATTTGTGTGTGTGTGTTTGTTGCGTTTAATGCGTTGCGTTAGCGAGGCGATCAGTTGCGATCTTGTTCTTGTATTGCGACGTGAATTTTATAGCAACGAAGGCGTACGTTTTTCTTAAATATTGAGCATTATGTGAACTGCGATTAGTATCAATCGAAGTTTAGATTTTCGTGCGAGTATGTTTCGAGTGAAAGAATATGTTTATGAAGTACTCAATTGTGTCAACTATAATTAAGTGAAAAAAATTGAGTTCAAAAATTTTAGGGGAGCCATTTACACATGGCGAGAAGTCACGTACTTTAATTTATATTGACATCATTACTACTGTTGACAGTTTATTTCACAGTATATTTTTAAAATTACTTGGCGATGATAAACATGGATAGTAGAAATATAAAAAAAAATGCAATGCAAAAAAGTGTAGAATTTACTTTCAAACCACCTCCTGAGGCGCCCGTGTTTGAGCCTACGCTTGAAGATTTTGCGGATCCCTTGGGATATATTGCAAAAATTCGCCCTGTTGCTGAAATAACAGGCATTTGCAAAATAAAGCCACCAGCGCGATGGCAACCACCTTTTTCACTGGATGTAGACAAATTAAAGTTTGTACCACGGATACAAAAAGTAAATGAATTGGAAGCCATAACACGTGTGAAATTGTTATTTCTCGAAAAAATTCTAAAATTTTGGGAATTACAAGGTTCTCCTTTAAAATTACCGATGATTGAAAATAAAATGTTAGATTTATATTGCTTGAAATTTTGGGTGGATGAAGAAGGTGGCTACGAAAAGTGTAATACACCTAAAAAATGGCGAAAGATTGCTAACTCAATGGGCTACAGTCAAAATACTAATACAATGAACTTTCTGAAAAGTAATTATGAAAAAATGTTGTTACCATACGAAATATTTGAGCAAAGTAAAGCAGATATATTAAAAACAGTCAAAAAGACCGAAAGTAAAACTGAAATAAAAGGTGAGGGAAATGTAACAAAGCAATCATTTAAAGAAGTATCAATTGAGTCAATCACTAAAATAAAAGATGAATGTTTTGATATGATGCCTCATACAAGCATAAAAAAAACTAAAACTGGATCAGATATAAAAGCTGATATAGAAACCAAGAATATTTTTGAAAGTGAGGAGGCTAAGTGCAATAGAGAGCTGAGAAGATTAGCATGTTATGGACCTGGACCTAAAATGCCTGGTCTTAATGATGAAGAATTTGATATTACCAAGTCTAGAAAACGACCACGGTATGATTTGGATCCATTAGCAATTTATGTTTGTGCTATTTGTCAAAAGGATCATACAGATAATCTTTTGTTAATTTGCAATGGTTGTTCTGATACTTATCACACATTTTGCTTAAAACCACCTTTAAACTCTGTACCTGATGGTGACTGGCGTTGTCCCTGTTGTATAGCTGAGGAGGTACATAAGCCAGCTGAAGCTTTTGGCTTTGCACAAGCTGAGAGAGAATACACACTTCAACAATTTGGAGAAATGGCAGATAAATTTAAATCTGATTACTTTGGTATGTCTGGACATCTAGTACCCACATCTGTTGCAGAGAAAGAATTTTGGAGAATAATAACATCAGTAGAAGAAGATGTGACTGTAGAGTATGGTGCAGATTTACATTCTATGGATCATGGTTCTGGTTTTCCAACTAAATCCTCCCTAAATCTTTATCCTGGTGATCAAGAATATGTTGATTCAGGCTGGAATTTAAACAATTTACCAGTGCTGGATGGATCAGTATTAAGGTTTATAAATGCAGATATCTCTGGCATGACTGTGCCTTGGATGTATGTTGGCATGTGCTTTTCTGCATTTTGTTGGCACAATGAAGATCATTGGAGTTATTCAATTAACTATTTACATTGGGGTGAAGCTAAAACTTGGTATGGTGTACCAGGGAGTGGAGCAGAGTTGTTAGAAAAAGCAATGAAAGCTGCAGCACCTGAGCTGTTCAAATCACAACCTGATTTACTGCATCAATTAGTTACTATAATGAATCCAAATATATTGATGCAAGCTGGGGTCCCTATTTATCGAACTGATCAACAAGCTGGAGAATTTGTTGTCACATTCCCACGTGCTTATCATGCGGGTTTTAATCAAGGTTATAACTTTGCAGAGGCAGTTAATTTTGCTCCTCCAGATTGGCTTAAAATTGGACGTGAATGTATCATCCATTACAAGAATCTTAAAAGATTTTGTGTTTTTTCACACGATGAACTGATTTGTAAGATGGCATTAGAAGGTGACCGACTGGATTTAGAAACAGCCTTGGAAACACAAAAAGAATTAGTTAATGCTACTGAAGAAGAGGGTAGACTGCGAGCAATGATAGCAAAGAAAGGTTTGAAAAGCGTATGTAGAACAGCCTTTGAATTGTTAGCAGATGATGAAAGATTATGTGAAGTGTGCAAAACAACTTGCTTTCTGTCTTCTGTTTCATGTGCTGATTGTAAGCACATGGCTTGCTTACAGCATGCCAATGATTTCT